CCAAACCCCCTTAATCCAAGAAAAGCTCTTTAATATGAGAAAAGTGAAAATATAAAGGGTGAAAAATGTTGCAGTTGTGCTTGGGTGTGAGTTATGAAGAGAGGCAACCAATTCCTTGGATTTTATTTTTGCTTTTTTCTGTCTGTAGAGGAATTTGCTTTTTTGTCTGGTTTGGGAGCTTCTGTATTTTTGTTTTGTCTAACTGTTTTGTTTAGGATAAAAGGTAAAATTCTTCAGTAAAATTTGTAACTTCATCTTATTTGCAGTTAGAAAGCTCTGCCTGCTTGTGTTCTTGCATGAGATGGACTGATTTTGTAGTATCTCCCAGCAAAGGTTAGCGTTGTACTGGCATGATCTGAAGTAACGTGCTGACACTTGCGTTTTGTGGAGCAACAGTACAGTCAAAACTACTGAGATACGGTTACTTCTGCACGTGACACAAAATGAAAGTATTAGACATGTATTTATAGGTAAAACTCTCGGTGAAGAGAAGGTCTGAAGAGGGAACTTCATAGTTAACTGCTAATCTTCTACTTTGAGATGTTGCAGTAATATCTTGACCAATGTCTGTGATGTTGGGCTTAAAATATGAGAGGTTGGCCTCAGAGGATTCAGCGATACTGTGAACATGAGGAAGTGATACATAACAATAAGAATGTGTAGGGGTGAGCCAGATAGAGGAAGATGATGTGAAAGATCTCTTCAATTGAAGAAGCTTCTGAAAACTCTTAGTTATTATCATTGTTAAGTTAGCAATGTTAGCAACATAATGCCTTTGAACTTTGTTTTCAAAACTTTCTAATTCTTAGTGGAAATTCTCCTTTTTGTTGTAACTTAAGCTGTCTACATGAAGCAGCTCCATTTGGGGAGATATGATATATGCATCTTCTGTATTTTTAAGGGAGAGCTGTATGTACTTGTCAGCTGTGCAATACTGTCATCTCCTTGTTCCCAGAAACTATTATTTAAAATAAAATATTCCTAATGCTCCTATGTTCAGATTTTACTACGTGTTGAGAAAATGTAAATGGCGTTTTCTGAGCTATTGCCTTAATGGAGTTCATTGTGCTACCTCTTGGAAGTAGGTTCAGTGAAACCACATCAGATGCTTAGTTTCTGGGTGAGAGGAAAAAGTACATTCTTAGTACATTGGAAGACAAAGGGAGAGGAGAAGAGAAAGAAACAAGGAAGCTCTTAGTAATTGTTCAGACGAGTCTGCCATTTTAAGAGAATAGTGAAGTTGTGCAGTGTCCCCTGAACCTGTGCACTCAGATGGTAGCAACTAGTCCCAGGTACTGAAGGTTGACAGGGGAGGATCCTTGAAAGAAAGCATGAGGATTTGTTGTTGGCTGGATTGTTGTTCAAATACATCTGAAGTGTTCAAAGCTTTTTTTTTTTTTTTTCCTTCTCCCTTGGAAAACCACTTCAACCATAATCTGTATTTTTGAGCTTTAAATGTGGTTAGGGTTTTTTTTTCCTTTTACATTCGTCTCAGCTTTGCTTTTTCTATTAGTGTTTTACTATATCTATTTAATTCTTGCCGAGTACTGAAATAATGAAATCTGAGTCACAGGTAATATACACCTGAAATTAACTGCTTCACTAGCGTTTTGTCAGTCTTAAAAACCGTTTATTGGAATAAACAGTCAGATTGTCATTTATGGTGTTACAATCTAGACTATATCAGCCTAGCTTATAACTCATGAAGTCATACATGTCGACTATTTTTTTAACTTCCTGATGTAACATTTCACTGTGGGTTTCATCAGGATACAAATTGCATATATTGAAACATATCTACAGTAATTTGGATGTTGTAGTAAAATAGTTAAGTTCAGTTGCACAGAATATCCCACCAAGAATTTTAAAGTAATATTCCCTTTGTAGAACTGATTTCCAAATGTCTACCTGCCTACTATGAACAGATAAACAGCAGTTAGGTTTTTTTGCTGCAAAATTATAGAAAATGTAATTGATTGGATTTTTAATGTTGTAGAGTGAGACACAATTTTGTTGAAAAGGTAAATAGCTAGAAACGTGGAGTGAAATAATGTATGCAGGAGGCTCAGGAGTTCTGAAAAACAATTGGCTCAGTATTTTGGAAAACAGATGAAAATTTAATCTTTTTCTCGTTTATTCTAATTTAGAAAAACGAGTCATTCTACAATTTAGAAATCTTGCTAGTTTAAAGGTATAAATGTCATGTTTGTAATAAGCATGTTGTCAGTTCACTTCTAAAGTTGCTTTCTGTCCTGGTAAGATTTTTTCACATTAGGGGTTCATGACAATGTCAGGAGTTAAATAGGCAATAATTCAATTTTGCAGCTTTTCTTAAAAGCTGCTTGGTAGCAAACATGAATTATTTGGAGTGACTATTTAAAATTAAGCTGAAAATTGCTAAATTTGCAGAAGAAAAAGAAGGAACTGAAGTGGAGAGAATAAAAGTCCAAACTCTGCTTTTAAACTTCCTCAGAGTACTACGAAGGCTTATCTGTGCAGGTCTTCAAAGCTTGTCTGTGATGCTATTTTGAGTTTCTTGGGTTCAGCTAATCCTTTGGGTGATTTGGGTACTTGTATGTGTCGTGGCTACAACAGTTCTTGGAGTGGTTTCTCTTCAGTGGTCGGGTGCTTGGGTAGCTTCTGTCCTTGACCCTCAGAGGCTTTTCTAGCATTTGGTGGATGTCTTGACTTGACTCTTACTATAGCACGTAGCTACAGTCAGAAGTAGACTCAGTATTTGGCCCTCACCTGAAGGTGTAAAGTATTCTGTTGGCTCCTTGCTGTTTTCTTGCCTTCATTTACCTGGATTATGATAAGGAAAGCATGATCCCAAGCACAATCTGCTTGTAGTACCCCAAGGAGATGCCAATCAGTTCTTTTTTTTTTTTATATGGGCTTGGCCCATATATGGAGATACGATTTGTTCAGCAGTGAAAGAGTTGACAAACGACAAATATGTTATTTTCTTCTGTTGTTTGTTTCAATGCCATGAAGGCAAGAGAATCCCTGATTTTTGTTACGATTGGGTAGCCAAGCTTCTGTAGCAAACTTGAAAGTGTTAACCTTAAAAAGAATAACTAAAAAGACAACAACAGCTCACTAATCATCCTGTTTTGGGGATTTAAATGAAAATCTTGTGCCCGGTAGGTGACTATTTTGCAAGACCGCACACAGTGAAGGGAAGAATTCCATCTAATATTGTTTAAATGATTCTCACAGAGTCTCATAGCCATGAGAGTATTCAAACTAGGTAAATTAATGTCACTTAGGTAAAGTACAGTGCAAACAATACTCTTTATACCTGATGCAATTTTTATTCCACTGATATTAAAGAAAAAAAGGAGCATAATTTTAAAAAATATTCAGATCTGTTTGCATTAGGAAATGTATCTGTATGAATATGTTATGCAGCTGATCTATGAAGGGACTTTTAAAATCCCTGTAAGTCTAGTATCTGACCACTGAATAATCTTTTTTGTTTGTTTATTTCTTACGATGCCCTTTACAGATGGGTCATTACTCTCTCTCCCATCTGGCAGATAGAAACAAGGCACAGAAGGGCTGGTGTGACAGAGAAACTAGTTTAATTGTTTTGAATCCTAGCCTACTTTCCTCAGTAAAGCAGAATGTTAGGAATTCAACTGACCTAAAAAAAAAATTCAGATTCAGGGCTTAAATAGACATACTCTAATATGATAAATGTAGTATATCAGTCATTTTTACGCTTCTAGAAATTAACATTGTTTTTGTAATGGAGATTTAATTTCATAAATGTGATCTGTGAAAATGAGGTAGATATCTCTGTTAGTATGTATGAAAAATAATGGTTTCCATAGAGAATCACGGATAGGGTGAAAGTATGACAGATATTTATGAAACAAAGAAATTGTTTCTTTTATATATTATTTATGTATATATATTATTTTGAACAAATTACTATTGTCTTTCAGTCAGTATCCTACCCAGACAAGTAATATGTCTGCAAAGGTACTTTCCCTTGTGAAAAGCTGCATTCATCTTGCTTTCACAGTTTAACTTTCTGTATGTCTGTGCATGGATTTGTTGCCATTTTTTTAAAGGAAAGATCTCATTGCCAAGTTTTCTGAAGAAACATTCTATATAAAAATAATGTCTTCTCAAATGTTTTTGCAGCATCTGTAAAAGTGCTAAAGAGTATGTGTGAAAACTTTTATAAGTATGCAAAACCGAAAAAAATTAGAGTCTGCATTGGGACGTGGAATGTCAACGGGGGGAAGCAGTTTCGAAGTATTGCCTTTAGAAACCAGACCCTCACTGACTGGCTTCTAGATGCACCAAAGTTAGCTGGTATTCATGAATTCCAAGGTAGGATTTGTATTCTGTCATATTTTTTCCTTGAAAATTCTGATTTTGATAATTAGATCATCAACATTAAAATATATATATGAGGACTTGGTCCTTAAGTTAACAACAAATAGCCTTTTTAATATTTAAATGCAGATCGAAAAAGCAAGCCAGTAGACATATTTGCCATTGGATTTGAAGAGATGGTGGAGTTAAATGCAGGAAACATTGTGAATGCCAGGTAGGTGATACAATCTATGCAAAATTAGTTTAGTTGATAATCACATTTTTTGAGTAAAATGTTATTTATTTTTTTTCCTCTGTATTGTAATGGTTGCAATTAGTCTGGATTAATTTTTGACTGCATTCCAGTTCTCTCTGCCAGTTTCTGTGCCAAGATTGCAGATTTCATCTTGGGTTTCCCTAGCAAAGCTATTATCGCTTAGATCACATATAATGTAATTCAAGGGTCCAAAGAGTCAGTATTTGACCATATTTTGGATTGCACCCTCAGCAGCTCCTCAACTTTTTCCTTCATTTAGCACTTTGAAGGAATTTACCTCCAATGCTTATAGTGTTCGGCAGTTTCTGTGCCTTCCTACTGCTGGAAACAGCGAATCCTGTGAAATTCCTTCCAAAACCATATATTGTTGGTATGCCTTTATATAGTGTCTTGCATCAGATTTTGAACTGTATCAAACAAGTGCTTTCTTCCATACTGTCAGTTTTCACTGTCATTAAGAGCATAACTAACCTTGGATCATAACTCCATCTATTTGTAGTTTGTGTTTAGCCATATTAGTCCATGTATTACATGTACATATTATTCTGGAGTTGGGGTTTTTCACCCCTAGCTGAGTGGGGTATTAAATTTTTTTTTTACCAGTGGTGGGTGATACCAGCAATGAAGTCTTTATATGTAGTCCTAGGATCATATTCACTTTGTCCCTTGTTTTGTCTGCCTGTTCTGCATGTTTTCTGGTGTTTAGCAAGCTTTAACTCATTGGAAAAAGCATCCAAGGCCTATTGCAGTGTTAGCCTTTGCACAGGCTTTTGTCTTGAGGGAAAAGTGGCAGTTTGTCATCCCCTAATTTCATACTATGTCTCGTTAACACTGTGTCCAGGTCTGATATTTTTAATTTATATCCAATACTAGCTTTAAAAACCATAGTCTGTTAGGTCTCCAAGGAAGTTTCTTCTTGATCTGAGACCATGGACATCTCTGTTTGCCAATATTCATTGGGCTCTAGGCTAGGAAGTAACTCCCTAGAAAAATTCTTAGGTTTTCCTCCTCTGGTCTAGCCTCAGAAGTACAGGAAAGATAGCCCTGGTTCCTAACATTGTCTGTGTTCTTGAGGAAAGTGAGGTAGCATTTTATGAGCCTGAATTTGAAATGATGTAGTCATTACAGTTTATAGCTAGGGAGGCATTTGAGCACCATTCACAATGTGGCTTTGGGTTACTACCCCAAGGTTTAGTTAAGGTTATTGTGTGAAGTTTATTCAACGGCATCAAGAGTTTAGATACCTGCTTAATTTGGTTTATTTTAAAACTGACATTTTTAATCTCACTGCTAGCACAACCAATCAGAAGCTCTGGGCTGCTGAACTGCAGAAGACTATATCAAGAGATTACAAGTATGTGCTGCTGGCTTCTGAGCAGCTGGTGGGTGTCTGCCTTTTTGTGTTCATCAGGCCCCAGCACGCTCCTTTTATCAGGTCAGTGAACACACAGCTGTGCCCAACTTGGGTCACCATCAGTTTGCTTTGTATTGCAAACTAACGTGCAACCATACTAGGAAGCATCTGGGGCTCTAAAAAAGCTGTTCCATCTCATGGGGAACTAGTTGCTTAAGTTCTTTTATTTTAGTTTTCAAATGCCTTATCAGTTGCCAAGAAAGCCTGAAAAGCTGAAGTGTTATATTGTTACCTGCTCACTGACTGTTGGCATTTTTAAAAAACAGGCCGGTGGCCTTACTGCTGAAAGAACAATGTGAAAATGTTCTCTTACCAACATAATGTCATACACAAACATACTTAAAGCTGTTAACTTCTGTGCCATTGTATTTGAAGGTTTAATGGTTGTTTAACTCTTTTAGGGATGTTGCTGTTGATACTGTAAAGACTGGCATGGGAGGAGCCACTGGTAATAAAGGTGCAGTAGCAATTCGGATGTTGTTTCATACATCCAGTCTTTGCTTTGTCTGCAGTCATTTTGCTGCAGGACAATCACAAGTTAAAGAGAGAAATGAAGACTTCGTCGAAATAGCTCGCAAGCTCAGTTTTCCAATGGTAAGAAACAGTGTTCAAATTCCATAACGAATGAGAAGTTAAACCCTTTGAGCTCCAGCAGTGTCATCCAAACAGTCTTATTTATTTTTTTCCACTCCCCAGATTCATGTGGAAATCAAATTTCCTTGGGTTGGAGGTCTCAGAGATAATTAAGTTCCCACAATTTTTATTAAAATAGATGACTTCAGAAAGAATAGACCTTTCCAGTGTAATGACTGATAGAGATGATGAAGCATGAATAAACTTGCATTAGGCATCAAGGATTTAGCATGGGAAAGAGACCTTATAGATTCCTGATACGCAGTAGAACTTTTGTAGGCACTGGAGTTAAACTATGAGGGGAAAAAAAAAAATCCCTGGGGGGAACAGTAGTATTTTCAGTACACAATGATTTTTGCTAACTCATTTTAACTTCTTGTTTACTAATTTTTGTCAAGTTGGATCATACAGTTCTGTACCATATTCTCGTGAAGGATTTTCAGACACCAAGTAAATACTTGATAATTTTATCAGTGCAACAAAATGCTTGCTTGAGACTTAAAGCTGTCTTAAATTTTGTAGTCAAACTGTCCTTTGTTAGTTTCTATGGCACTGTGCAGGAGTCTGGCATCTTATTTTACAGGGTTTTTAAATTTCTAAATATTCCCCATGGTCATGTTTCAGTTTTTCTTGAAAGTACTGTATTCTTATGGTCCCCAGAAACAGTTTCCTGAATGCTGCTGTTTCAATCTGCCAGTGTATCTGCTTTGATTTACTCAAGGGCAATGGAAAAATCAAAACAAAGAGCAAAATAAAAGTTCTCGCTTTAAACCCTAGGCTTTGTTTAAGCTAACAGAGCCCTTCTGTCTCTCCCTAGCCATGAAAATTGTATGTAACTGAAAAGTCTTCAATTAAATCTGAATAATAAAGCCCTAGATTTGCAATTTGTCAGGATATTGTGCCACAAGATCCCAGGGTAATGTTTTGTTCTCCTTTGTAACCTCTTTGCGACACAGGCAGCAGTCATCATCTTAGAGTAGACTTCTAAAACAGGAACAGAAAGATGAAGAATTTCAGAATCCAATTCAGATGATTCATATTTCTTTAGAAATGCAAACCACATAAGAAATGTTACTTCTTTCATATTCTATATATGTGAATACCATACAGTTGGCTCTGTTGTTCTAACTATATGAAAACTAAATACTAACATGTATTTCAGTTGTCCTCATCAGCTAGAAATTATGCATATTTTACAGTTAAAAACTGAACTTCTGCACCTGGAAGCAGTACATTTGTCACTTGGTGGTTTTTAACTTCATTGTGTGTTTCTGTTTTACAGGGAAGGATGCTCTTTTCCCATGACTATATCTTTTGGTGTGGTGACTTTAATTATCGAATAGATATTCCAAATGAGGAGGTTAAGGACCTTATACGACAACAGAACTGGGATCCCCTTATAGCAGGAGACCAACTTATCAATCAGAAAAATTCTGGACAGGTATCTTAAAAATGTTACTACACTTACGAATGCTTGATTTTTCTTTTTGGCTTTAGCAATTTTCTGTGGTGCTTCTGTAAATCTGTATCTTCAGCATGTTTTACTTATTACTTTTGTCCAAGTAGTAGTATGGAAGGGTGGGACATAGCAACATTTAGTAATTTATTTGTAGTCACTGACCTGAAGAGGCAGTGATAGACATACATTGACTAGCTGTAGGAATGAGGTTTTTTTTTTTCTCTCCTGAAAAAAAGGAAACTCTACCATCTCTGTAGAACTTTATGTTGGAGTTTACTAATTATGACGTTTTTCTTTTTATCAGGTGCAACTATTTAAAAAAAATAATTACAGAAGTTCTTTTGGTAATGTTACTCTTTACTTTAAATTGCTGCAGTAATAGGTCTAATGCTGTTACTGTCATTCTGTTGGAAAAAGGAATAGTCCAAACAGTAGCCTTTTTACCTACAAAGACAAAGAGCATGGAATAACAAAGTCTGAAGAAAGCTTCAGGTTTTAGATTTTTAGGGTTTCTTGGGAGGCAGTACATAGCAATTAAAGGAATATTTGTAATCAATCAAATTTTGTGTGAAAGTGTGTATTCTTTCTTTCCAGCTTTATGTGAGAATGCTGTAGATGATAAAATGAGAGACAGTCCTCTGTTGTTAGTTTTGTCTGCTTGCCAGCACTTTGATCGCAAGCAGTGTTTTCCCTGAATTAGAGTTCTCTTTCATTTGTGCATCAGAACAGGAGGAAAACCACTTGATAATTTTTTAATTATGTTTTTATATATAGCCCAGTTCCTGGAGAAAGAGAGAGATATGTTCATATGGGCGGACAGCATGATTGTCTGTTAATTCGACCAGAACAAGAGACATGTAGAGGTCTTGGGGACACTTAGAGCAGTTATAGAGCTGGAAAGATCTGGAATATGAAAAAGACTTTAAATAGTCTGCTGGCTGGGGAGAAGAAGGGGTTGTATTGCACTGTTGGGGTAACATTCCATTATTTGGAAGTGGCTGGCTGGGCAGCAGGGGGTATCAGCTGGTTAGCAAGGGTAGCTCCACGGTTGTTGCGCGTGGCTGTTCTCCATGCAACAGGAAAGGCATTTACATAGCAACTCTCTTCCTAAAAGTAGGTTAAGAAATAATCACCAAAGGCAAAGAAATTAATAAATTCTCTCAGAAGTTGCAGATCTTCTGACATTCTGACATTGATCTTCTGACATTGATATTTAAATTGACTGGATTTCGGTTTATATTTCCAACCAGAAAAGCAGACTAACCTGTCATTTGATGCAGACTGTAAGATCTAAGATAGATTTATACTTTACAGAGCTCTGATGTGAAGTAATACTGCCCATACAAGATTAAACTGAAGACTGGAGCTGGCTAATGAAAGCGTTTTAGCTTATGTCTAGTTTAAACACTTAAGAGCAAATCTCCTGGCCTTCTAGGGTCTCGTATCAGCTGGATGTATCTCTTTATGTTGCAAAGTACCTAACGGATTCTTTGATTCCTTTCAACTGACTCTGTACCTCTAAATACCATACATACTCTTGGCAGGTAATTTCACATAATATAACTTTTTATTCTGTTTTCCTACTTGCTTGAGAGGAAATGGTGATATTATCTCTCTAATCTTTCAGCTTTAAGGACTCTTTTTTTTTCTTTTTTTTTCTCCTTATCTCCTATTTATTGGCGAGGCATCTTGTGTCAATTTGGAGGAATGCTTTGCATGTTCAGATAGGTACATAAAATAGAAACTTTAATTCCTAGCTTTTGCTGGCATATGAGCAACTAACCAACTAATTCAAGTGCTGTGGGCAGCATCTGTGTTCTAGATGACCTCAAGTTCTGAAGGACATTGGAGGAACAGTAGGTTGCTCATGAGCCTGGGTTTAAAGATATAAGTGTTGACACACTTCTGTTTAGTGATGATCTGTCTGGGTCCCTACTTAATCTTAGTGGCAAATGTAGAATGTTTTCAGCAGATAAAATTTGGAGAAGGACTCACGTTATCAAATTACTTTTTTTTTTTAAATGTATGTACAGGTTTTCACTGTTAGAAAAGAGAATTCTGATTAGTGTCAAGCTGCTTCCCATCTGTTTCTGTCTTCTGGTGTGACACATAACTGCTTTGTTTCTTACAGATTTTTAGGGGATTTTTAGAAGGGAAAATAAATTTTGCTCCAACATACAAATATGATCTCTTTTCTGATGACTATGACACCAGTGAAAAATGTCGCACACCAGCATGGACAGATCGTATTCTGTGGAGAAGAAGAAAATGGCCTTTTGACCGATCAGGTTTGAGTGCTTCTTTAAATTATTCTTTCAGCTGGCTTCTAGAATCCATTTAGTGACATTCACAGTGCCAGTGATTCTGAGCTGTCCCTGACTTTGTATGAGACAGAAAGCTTATAATAGCATCTGCAATAAACACAGTGATGCTGAACAGGAGGATCAAGAATCAGATAGCAGTTACTGATATTTCAGTAGTTCAAAAGGAGCTTCTATTTTTTTTCTATAAAACACTTGGTTTTGATTTATTTTTTTCTCTTTTTACAAATAGTTTATTTTTAAAAGCATGTTCTTGCAGTCACTGTGGGTTTTTTCCTTTCGTTTTCCTTAATACTGAATGTAGCTGAAGACCTGGATCTTCTGAATGCTAGTTTTCACGATGACAGTAATGTCCCTTATACGTGGAATCCTGGTACTTTGTTGCACTATGGAAGAGCAGAGCTGAAGACATCTGATCACAGGTTTCAGTTTTATTTTATACATTACTTCCTAATCACTGAAGATTTAATATTCATGTTATATATTTTATTGCTCAGATACTCTTCTTACAGATTTTTCTCGTGTATTTTTTTCCAAGGCCTGTGGTTGCATTGATTGACATCGACATATTTGAAATTGAAGCAGAAGAGAGACAAAAAGTTTACAAGGAGGTGATTGCAATGCAAGGACCACCTGATGGTACTGTAATGGTCTCCATCAGAAGTTCTTCAGCAGAAGAAAACTATTTTGATGATAACTTGATTGATGATCTCCTTCAAAAATTTGCAAGCTATGGTGAAGTTATACTTATAAGGTTAAAAAGACTTTTTACTCTTAATCTCTATTCCTCTTCATTGTTCGCACCTACTTCCTGAATAAAGTTACTTTCTTAGCAGGCATTTCAGTTCAAATCTGCTTCATTTTTAACATTTAGATTTTGACTTTAATGTCTTTACAGTTGAAAATTAGTTTTACCGACCTGTATGTGTCTCAGTTTTCAGACTTAATTTTTCCACATACTCTTTCTTTTTGAGATAGAGTATCATATGACTTTGTCAGAAATCAGAGTTAAAATTTGTTACTTACATAATTTTATACCAATTTTGTATTCTAAAATTAGGCTAATAGTTTTAAATGAACCAAAGATGAGAGGATCCCTGTGAATGTTGCGTTTTCACTAAGCTGTCACTTGAACTGTGTGTGTTGTGTTATTTTGTTTGGGTTTTTTGGGGGGTTGTTTTGTTTGTGTGTTTTTTCAGAAGACAAGGAGCATAGTCGCAACTCCATAGTGTGATATAAGGTGGAACACCTAATACAAATATCTAACCTTCAGCCACACAATTACCATTGAATGTGTAACTGTAGTTACATAATTTTCAGAAGGACAGTGCTCTCACTGTGTCATTTACCTGGTTCTTTTTTGCCTTTTTTTTTCTTGTTGCAAGCATACATTCAGTTAAAGCTTATTAGCCAATTATGCATATTTTAATGAACTTGAAACATTGAGAACAATTCTTTTTTTTAGTGAAACATTGAATAACCTTTAAGATCAGAGGCTTCAAAAGTTAATACTTAGGATAAAGTATTTTAATTATTGTTTCCAATGGACTTTGCAGGTTTGTGGAAGACAAGATGTGGGTAACATTTTTGGAAGGAAGTTCTGCTTTGAATGTTATGAATTTGAATGGTACTGAGGTAATGTAAAAATTACTGAACTTTTGTACAGCAAGAGAAAATTCAACTTTTTAACGAATACTTGGATGGGTTGCATTTTTTTGTTTGTTTTTAATTCTTAAAAAGTTTTTTTCATGTCCCATACTAGACTGCATCTAATTGTTTTTTTTCTTTTGATAACCACATGTTGAGTTTCAAAAGTCAGCTGAGAGAAGTACCAAACTTAATTTATTTTTAGGAGGAGGACTGTTAGAGAAATGAAGATTCCATATTGAGGGGCGTCTTCATCAAATGAGGGATTTTAAATTGATTTTTAATGATATAAAAATCGGAGTTTTCACCTTGAGTTTTGTAGTATGAACCAGTTGATCATACTTACAGCCTGCAATTATTTAAAATGCTGCACTCCTGTAGTGCAATCACTTAATGTCAAAATTTCAGCTCTCATTGACTTCTGTAGGGCCACTATCTAATATTTGTAAAAATTCTAATTTTCACGTTCACATTTTTACTGATCTATGTTCCTGTTAAGACTTAGAATCTGTAATGTGATGTTTGAAGATGGTTCCTTGCATCTGCTGAGAGTTTCACTGCCAGCCCCTGTAGGATAGGGGCTCAGTGTCCTGTGTCAGTTTGCAGAGTGAAGGCCTGCTGTTTTATCAGTCTTTAAAAATGACTTTATTAATGTAGTTTATAGGCAAGTCTGTTTTTTTCTTTACAAAGAGTAGTGTTTCTGTCAGATAAAGAAACCAGAAGCTTTCCTACCAACTGAAAAAGAAACTCTTATGAGAGAAGTTGTTAGTTTTTCTGCAGAAAAATATTACATAGTTGTAATTAACAATTTAAACTACATAATTGTACTTAATTACCAAAATGAGGTGGAAAGCATAACTATTTTTGTGGTGTGTCACTGTAGTCCCAGAAATTCTGATAACCTTATTTGCGGTATCTTCAGTGTTTTGGGTTTTTTTTTGTGGTTTGGTTTGGTTTTGTTTTGTTTTCTGCTTTTTAAATCTAGAATACTGAATTTTAGTGTTCCTACTCTTAACAGTTTTTGTTTTGTGCTTACCTTTTTGGCAATTCAGCTACTAGGAAGGATTATAAACATAAGCTTGAAAAATCCAGATTGGATCAGAAGTTTGGAAGATGAAATGAATCTAGAGAAGATCAATATCGGGCTGCCTTCATCCACAAGCTCCACTTTGCTTTGTGAAGATGCTGAGGTTACTGCAGACTATGATATGGAAGGTTTGTTGAAATAAAGTATTCCTCATTTTGAAATGCTTACAGTCCTAAATAATGTGGTTAATTTAATGCATATATCAGTGCCTTAATTTAACAAGTTTATGCCCATCTAAACCAGATAAATTTGAAATCCCGTTATTTCCAACAGTATCCTGACAACTTGTTGAGCAGTGTCAATTTGCACTGCATCTCTAGGTTTTACTAATATCTCTTTACTCTTTTCACGTTATCCTGTGACCTACCCTCTCAGGGTCACTTAATTTACTGTTGATGGAGACGCCCTATAAGCAGGATGCGCACAACTTCAGAGTACGAAGCAATTATTTTTCTGCCAATACATATAATAGATTAATAGGACTAATGAGCTCCCATCTTAAGCATTGATAAGCTTACCACCCCCAAGAAGACACCTTCTGAGCCTTTGACAGGTAGACGAATATGAGTCAGGCAAGGAAACCTTCAGCCTCTGTTGCTCCTTGGAGCAGGCTGATCTTCAGCATTGATGAGTTGCTGTTTCACGGTTCCCTGTCTTTTTGCCGGTTTTGGGGTTTCCCTGAAGGGTTTTTATCTCTTTTCATACTTTTCTAGCAGAATCCTCAAGTTGCTGAATATCACTGTCGCAGCAATTGTGCCTCTCCATTTTTGCTTTTCTTTACTTGCAAGTTTCTAATCTATGTACTTTGTCACGGCTTATTTTTTAATCTATTAATTTATATGAAAGGTGTGCTTCACTCTCTTCTCTACATTAAAACATATTCTTATATACTTGGCAATTAAAACAACTGTTTTTCACCAGCAGCAAAAAAATAAAACAAACCCACACCTTACCTGTGTGTACCACAGGTACACACACCACCCTTCCTGTGTGTATTGCATTTCCATATGTATTTTACAGGGTCATTTTTTTGTCATTTATTGAACAGATGCACTTTCTAGTGTTGTCATTGTGTCTATATTGATTTATTCTGAGTAGCTCATTTGCTGTGAATTTCTATCCAAGCTCCTTAGTGGCAAACATTACATTGCAAAAGTTTCAAGAAAAGAGATGGCAGCTATGTATACTTGAAATAGTAGAATAGGGGGTTTTTGTACAGGTATTTCATAAAGAAAGATATGTTTTAGTAAGGGGACAGATATGGGAAACCTGCGTGAAAAGCTGGAATTTGCGTTAGTCTTGGTATTGTAAGATAACTTCGTCTGTTTTCCAGTGCAGGTAGGAAACAGGACTTTAACAGTTTAGACACCTGTATGATTGGTTGATTTCATTAATAGTTCTACGTGAAATGGTGTGATTCCCTTAAAATGTGACATCTCAAATCCCACAAGACTCTTAAATCAAGAGCTAATATCTAATTAGCAGCCTGGTTACTCTGTTACTTGCTCAGGAGTGCAGAGTAGAAGCTGGAACTTCTGTTGAACGTTGTGTGTCAATCATGTACCTTGAAAGAGAGAGAAGCCTAGAGGTAATGGAAGAAAGGATTACTGTGGTCTTATTGGAGTGTGATGGGATAATTGTCTATTTTAGGCATTTTGAATATCAACATTAAAATGTTCTAAATTGACAGTTTACTTTTCAAAGGCACATCCACGTTGAACCTTTTTTTTTTTAAACCTCTTTCCACCTTTTCAAACAGAACATACTACAAATAGCAAATGTCTTGAAATCCCCTGCCCAGCCTTCTGAAGAATAAGTGAAGCTTGCCATCTATTGCAAACCAGGGAAATAATTTTTGCAAAGGTCTTCTTTGTAAAGCTAATTATTTCTTAGATTAAGCAACATTACAGTTGCCACACTATTATAATGACTTATAATATATATTGTGCATTTGGAGTATTTTCAACTGGTTTGAATATATATGCATTCTTCATGTGTAATTTTATGATGCAAGAATCATACTTTGGTTGTTGAGCTAATTCCTTGGAACTTGAGGGCTTTTTGCAGAAAATCCCATGTCTGGTATCAGTTTATAATTTCCTCACTTTTTTAAAATAAGTAACTATTGTTCTCTTTATTTTACATAGTTTTTTCTTTTTTTTGGGTGGGGTTTCTTATTTAGGAGACATTGATGACTATAGTGCTGAAGTAGAAGAAATCCTTCCTCAGCATCTACAGCCAACTTCAGGCTCTGGTCTTGGAACCTCCCCAAGCTCTTCACCACGTTCCAGTCCGTGTCAATCCCCTACGCTGTCAGATGGACCTACGCTCCCAGTGAGGCCGAGTCGAGCACCAACAAAAACTCCCGGACCACCTGTTTCCACACACAGTGTGTATTACATTGCTCAACTGCCACTGTTCCTAGTATACAGCCTGGCAGCAGCTGTATGGTCCAGTGGTAGCATACTATTAAATTAGAGCTTTTAGGTTAACGTAAAAGGCTATTCTTGTCATTATCTAGCATTTTACTCAGAAGTGGCCTTGGGCAAATCACCTCATTCTTTGCGTCTCATTTTTCCTAGTGGGCAGTGCAAGAGCTTTGTTTCCTCAATCTTTAGTACGCTGTCCACTGATCTGTGCTGCTGCAAACTACCTAACTTGCTGTAGTACTTTAGCATTTCATCATGAGAGAGAGATCTCAAAAAGTTATGTGATGTTGATTAGTTTAAAACCTCTGTTCAAAAATTCTGTTGCAATGTGTCAGTATAATCCCATTTCACTTTAGTCATAGTCTTCAAATACAGCCCATTTCAATTAATGCTCCTGTCAGCTGTAATATGTTATATTATTGTTATCAGTAGATTTATAAATTGGGTATATAATATAAAAGATTTCATTTAAACACAACTTTAGTGACGAAGTGGACATTTAGAATTACAGCCTTTGGAATGGCTTCTAGAACAGTTGATTTCAATGTAATTTGGAGTAACTTTACAAAGACTGCTAAAATGCCTTCAGAATTCTCCTTGTAACTTTTTTTTTTTTTTTTTTGCCAGAGCACTTCATTCACAGATAAGGGTCAAAATCAAAATTTGGAGGTCTGCTTTTTGTAAGAATGCTCAGGATTCCATGAAAAGCATAAACTGATTAGAGCACATGAGACAAAAATCTTGGTTTAGGAGATCTGCTTCTTTTCACCAGTGATTATTCCTCTTCCCTCCCTCAGAAACTTCTGTATCATTGTTCTCAGGGCTGGGGATTGACTGTGCTCTCTGTGAAAATAAATTGCTATTAGAAAAGCTTTACTGTGATCACAATGTGCAAGTGATTGATTTTTTTTGCATTGTTTTCTGTCACATCCTTCAGCTGAATTTCAACTTGGTACCCAGCAGAAAGAGTCTTCTCAGAGCTTGGAGCCTAAGCGTCCTCCACCACCTCGCCCCATTGCTCCTCCTGCACGCCCCGCTCCACCACAGAGGCCGCCTCCACCATCAGGTAACGCAGTGACGTATATCAGGTGGTCAGGAACTGTTTGTTTCAAGTCTGTGACGTGAACCTTGAAGTCCACACCCAAACTACGTACTATACTGTTGGTTTGGGGCTCAATGGAGCATACCATTTTTTCTCTAATATGTTTAGTTGGTACGTTTAATAGCAATAACACCATGGGAAAGAACAGAGTTTCTCAGTACCATTTAAATGTTATTGCCTTTGCTTAGTGAACAAGTTTTAAAATTTTTATAAACTTATTTTCACAGTTGAAAAATGTGGGCTTCCTACAGCAGTGTTTACTCAACATTTTCATATTTTTAGCATCTTTGTTTTAAAAATAAAGGATAAATAATCTTGCTCATTCATTGATTTATATTCCTTTAATTTTGGCATCAGCCTGTATGCATTTTATCATGTCCCAAGTTTTTAATGTAGAGGTCTTCTGGATCATCTGAAAATGTAAACAATTGAGTACTAAGAGAAACTGGATGTTCAGAAGCATATGGGCAACATAGTTAATAACAAACTGACCCTTGTCATTTTTAACTTTCTCATTCTTTTTCTTCCCTCTTACTGTACTGATATTTTTCATTATTGCTGCATTCATTTCTTAAATACTATAAGGCGGCAGGAGTCCTGCACCTGCTAGAAAAGAATTTGGAGGTAATGATTTTAATTGTTTACGAATATGACTACATAGCAAAATTACTATGGTGGTCTGTTGTGACAATACTTAATATGCTGTCCAAAGGTATAAAAATGGGTAATTCTTGAATGTCAATGGCAATGCCTTTCTCAGGGTTTGTATCCCCCTCTGAATTATGTTTGACTTTTTAGTGAAAAAATATTTCTCCAGAAGTTGGCACTTTATAGTCAGAGAGATTAAAGTTGTTCCAGGTTTTTATTACTTTGTCCAGGTCAAAATATACCCAGGTAACTCTTCTGTGAAAGCAGAAACTTGTCTTTAGTTGTGAAAAGGCTGGCTTTTTTCCTCACAGTCCATGACAAGGGGCATTGTAAAATGGATTGTGATTGTAGCTACTTGCAGTTGTTCAAGTTGAAATTACTGCTAGTCTGGCCCAGTTTCCCCCGCGTGATCACCAGTTAACAGAGAGTTCCAAATCACTGAGCTATATTTGTCTCTAAGCTGAACACTGACATATGGGTAGTTTAGTTTATGTTTCCAAGTCTGAAATGTGTTCCTAAGCCCTTCCTGGAGACACGAAACATCCTCCATAGTTCTTGGAACTAGCATGTACTTCAGAAACACAGACTTAGTAAAGGAATTTATTCAGTTACTTTGAAGGCACTCAAGAGCTACGGGTCTTTACAAAGTAACAAAACCCTGAAATAAGTCTCTCCGAATTCCTTCCTTTTTGATAATGCTGAGAGTCTGATCAATCCTGCAGGCTAGTTTTGTTTTTTTCCAGCTTGATCTGGTTTTGCATGTAACGATGACTTACACGTTCTCAGAAGTGCTGCTTCTCAAAACTAATCGTTGTCCCTCTTTGTCACATGCTTAATAGTTGGGCTGTCTTGCTTGGACTTAAATCAGCTCATTAATACATGGGATAGAGTGAGAGTAGTTAGTGGCTCTGAAATACTGTTCTAATGGCTTTTCAGACACTGCCACTCGGTAGAAAGAGGGTTTTTTGAGAAAATAATTCAAAAGTTTTGAGCAATCTCATAAAATAAGTAAACTGTTTTACATAGTATATATGTACTTTACTCTGATGTCAGGCAGAGATGTGCATGGCTCTCAGATACAGTTGAGGAGAGGAGATTATTATGCCAAAGGCATGATATTTTGAATTAGTTAAAATGCTTAAGTTAGAAAACATAGCTTTCCATAAAGAACTGTAACTTGCATAAAGCTTGGTTTTTATGCAGTCTTTTAAAAGAGATTGTAGTATATGTTTTTCATATATTATTCTGACCTGAAGCTCATACCACTTTTTCTGTTCTCTTCATTTTCCACTCATGGTATACATACGTGAGCATAATGCTTTGCTTTTCAGTGGTACCTGAGCTCAGCTCTGAGCAAACTAGCGCAGGACTGGAAGGAGTATAAATCTCATAGTGTGTTACTAAGCTTGGGAAAATGGCACCTGTTTCTCTTACCTAGAATGAAGGCTACTAAAGCACTGTGAAAATATCCCTGTGTACTATATAAATCTGTCAGACTTTAGTTTTAGACTTCTGTAGCGCATGCAAAGTGACATTGATCACATCTTTAAAATGTTGCACATTTTAAATATTACTTTTTTTTTTTTGCTCATGTGTTTTAACCTTTTTTTTTCTGAGCGCTTCACTCCAGTTCCCTTAACATTTCTTCTAATGGTTCAGTATGCTTTGGAGATGGGAGCAGGATTTGGGCATCTAAAGTTTATTTTTTAGAGTTTGGTCATATTTTACATCAGAAGTAACTCAGAATTCAAGGAAGCAAGGCTATGTACTAATTACAGGGGGTTGCAAAGAGTAGACTTTTTGCCTGCTAATATGAAAGATTTCCACTGAGGATTTTAAGCTCTCAGTTGTTTATAGTTAAAAATTAAAATGCTGCACTCTGTTTACCCACGATTTTCTGTAATAAATTACAGAGTAAATTCTTACAGAACATGAAAAATTATAAAGGCTGCTAATTGTCAATTACTTGAAGTTAAAAAATAACTTTTTTTTGTTTGTTTCTTCCTTTAATAATATTTATCAGATGTTTCCTGAGTAATGCAGGAGAGGCTTATAGTTGTCTTTTTATCATTGGTTTAAACTGTTAAAATGAGGTTAAGATTGGGTTAAGATTGAGAGAATGCATACATAGTATTTTCAGTATATGCAGTAATTTGGGTAAAATGCATTACACTTTCACTGTGGTTATCCTCCAAATAAATAAAATAAATCTAGGAAGTACAGTAATAAAGTTGACATTAAAAGAAATGCAAGTATGTTAAGATATGAAAATACATGCACCCAAGCAGCAAGTACTTATTTGTGATCACTGATATTTATAGTCACACATTAAACTTAGCCTTGAAAGAACCATTCAACATCTTTATTTTCCCCTTGTAGATTTTTTTTTTTTTTTCCCCAGAGCAGAGTTCAGGTTGTTTGGGTGCATTAGGCTATGGCAGTCATTTTGAAAAAGCTTTTTTGGGTTTTGTTTTTTTTAAATATGGGGAAGAGCACCTTTCTTCTGTTCAGTAATGGAGGAAGCAAAAACCTTAATGCTAAAACAGTAAATGCATTGTTGAAATGCAGGCAAATGGCATAGATTTCAAATTGTGTGTGTGTGTGTATACATGCATGCACACGCAAATGTGCATGTATATGCACAAATTACTTTGAAAAGTTGAGGTTGCTTTATTTTCCATTAAGCTAATGTGTAAATGTAATCTTTGCAAAACATACAGTTCTGTCTAAAAGATGTCAGGGTATAAGTTACAGGTTGTTTCTGTATAAATCCAACCCCTTTCCTTAAAACACTATTTTACAAAAGTATATTTCCTTAAAACAATATTTTACTTGCAAAATACTGTTTCAAACTGCAATAGAGATTTTGAGCTATATACAGACTAGAGTAGCAGTTTAAAATGATATCCAAAAAAGTGTTGCAGGTTCAGATGTACATTTTTTCATTGCCCTTAAAATCTTCCTTTAATGCCAATTGAGATACCATCATCCCACACCATTGTTTTGCTTTAAGACTGCTGAAGAATATTATTAGTAAGTGAAATTTGGGGTATTAGACCTTTATGCCCTTTCTTTCCCACTTAATATTTTAAAATTTGCAAAACCTTTTAAAATCCTCATGCAGAGAGGTCTTTCTCTGTACGGTGCACCAACATAGAACATGTCTACGTGCTGTGGTCGGTCAAAGAGGTTCTCTGCCTTCCTTCTCCTGAAAGGAGTTCACTTGATTAGTCATCTTGCATAAAACAAGATTTGCTTAACAAGAGCATCCTGAGAATACCTATTCAAAGTATGGGCTGAGTTGAGCTTTGGGAGGGGAAAGTGCAGAAGGTTTGTGAAATGAACAGGCTAGTTCCCTGCTCTTGGAGGTTTTGATGTGTCCGTTCCCATTAATACTCTAAGATGAACAGGTCGTTTTATGTCTCTGTAACCACAGACGGTTTGGAGGAGTGTCCTGTACTCTGTTGGTCTGCTCTCCCACCTCCCTTTATTTTCCTCCAGTTAGGAGATAGGCTTCTCAGCCTATGGGTTACCACTTTCTTTTCTCCCCCAGGGTTCCTCTGGGTTGCCTGGGAGAAGGGCAGAGCTGTTACCTGAAAGCAATGAAATGTTCTCAGGCAGTGCTGTCCTCCTCTGCCCCCTCCTTACAAACGCTCTCTGTTTGTCCCTCCTCAGTGCTGCTTCTCTCGCAGAGAAGTTCACTGTCAGAAACTTTTGCGATGGAAATCGCAGAGCCTGGAACTCACCCAGAATATATAACGTGTGCTACTATTTAACATCTTTGAACCAGATGTTCAGCAAAACCAGAGATCTGACATCTCTGGAGATAATCACACACCAGCCTCATCTGCAACCTTCACTCTTCCTACTCTGAGTGACACCTCCACCCATATCTGACAAAATTCACAGCACTCTTTCGAGATCATAGAGAGCTCCTGAGCAGATACCACACATTGGCACATGATGAGAAAGCATGAGGCTGTGTCATCGCTAAGGCAAAAGTTGCTTTTAAGGTAGGCTTCTTGAACACTGGCTCCCTTTCCTTCCTCTATACTTGAGCCACTCCAGAGTTGCCAGATACTACTGTTACTTTTTCCTGTGCGCATGCCTTAAAGATTTCTCCTTGCATACCGTCTAGTGTTATCTATGTCCTGCCATGTTTTTACCACACAATTTTATGGACCCAGTATATGCTTGATCATATTGCAGAAATAAAATAATTCAGCATGATTATGCATGATTGAAAATCATCTCTCAATCTGAACTGTAACATCTATTGCACACCAGTTGATACAGCTTTCCAAAGTACAGAGTGCTGCTTGGCGAATAACTTAATGATGCAATTCTGTAGGATACAATACATTATATAAAGTGGGAAACTTAGTTCTTCCATAAAATTCCTTTTTCAAATGTAGTCTTGGCAGAAACATACTATGTAGCATTCTACTAAATTACAGGAAGCAGACTTAATGTTGCGGGGTGTAACTGATGTACCTGTTTATTTTCAAATGTTTGAGTATAGGCACGTGCTCTGCTTTAGAAAAGTTTCAAGACTGACATTTAATATCATTCTGAATTTACAAAAGTTTGTGGAGAGTGAATGCTGCAGAAGTGAAATTCTCTTTCAACTGTAATGTAAAATTGAAATAATAGCATGTTTCTAAACACAGTTGTACTTCCTGATCTCTAATTCGTATCAGTCTGGTTTTCCCATGCTGCTACAAATAGTTGTCTTCTACAAGTAACTACAATCTAGCTAGGCCATTTTTAAATGATGTAAAGCTGTCTTGTGGCCGTGTTCTTTCTGGTTTTACTTTCTCAATCTACTGCTTTTCTTATGCAATGTACAGCTTCTCTTCTTTCTCTGAAAAGGTCTTGGAGCTCCTCCCAGTCCTGGGGTAGCTAGGAGAGAAGTAGAAGGTAACATAACAATTTTTGTATTCTAGAAACGGATTTCAAATTTAATACCTGAGTAATATTACTGCCCTTGTGATACTAAAGGTGGTTTTGTTGAAGGTATTTATTGTGTAGGATCTTTCTTCTTTAATGTGACATAGTTTTCAGACAGCCAAGTTGCTTCCTGTTTTTCTGTGATGATGTGAATTGTTATAGAAGGCAGTCTAAATTTATGAAAAATGAAGTGAAAACTTAGACTGCACTAATCAAGAAGAGCGCTCTCAAGGCTGACTCTCAGAGGAAGCTGTGGCTGACTCTCAGAGGAAGCTGTAGCTGACTGATTGCTAGAGTAAATACTATACCTGTAACTGAATCATGAATCTAGGAAGTCTAATTTTTTCATAAAGAACTAGATATGTTTGTATATTTGGGGGAGAGAAATTAAATAATTAAATAATTAAGCCTAGAATATTTTGTCTCTTTCTAAAGAGTACAGTGTAGGTATTTTGATTCTGATACCTAAATGTATGTGACATACATTTATGAGAAGCATTTCTCTTGCATTATTCTTGTTGGAGTATGTGCGTATCGTGCTGAATGGGTCCTGTTTCAGCCATGCCAATGGAGTCATGCATTTGGGTTTCTTCCTGTCCCTTCAGGAATGTGTCCCTTTGTAGCAAATATAGGTATGGCAATAAAAGTCCTAATATAGTCACAGTCAAGATGTCCTCCTGTATACTACAATTAATTTTGGCTATATTGCTGGTTCATTTTTCTAAGTTGGCAAAATCACTATATGCATAGACTAGTTCAGGTTGGAAGAGACCTCTGGTGGTGATATACTCCAACCTCCTGCTCAGAGTTAGGTAAACTGGCACCAGGTTGCTCAGGGAACGAGTTGCATTATTGAGAACTGTACCCAAAAACCCATTCTAACCGGTTCTAAGCAAGCAGTGTTGTCTGACAACTGGAAGCCGATTTAATAAACTGTCTTATGTACCACAGAGTATTTCTTCCAGTTACTGTAACTGCCATGGTGATTTTACCTTCCTGGGAAATAGGCAACAGAAACACAAGCCAGAATCCTAAACCTCTTTGCCTGTTAGAAATTGGGCACTTGTCTGAGGTAAAGGTAATTTTTTCCTATCTTGCACTTCACAACTTGAATGTTGCATACAAGGTTATCATTAGCATCAGCATGTAAATGTTGAGGTTGGTGCTGTGATAGGTTTATCCCATAAATGAAGAGAGTAGGTTCAGGAACTGGTGTAGACCCCGTGGATTGCTGAACCATGTATAATTACAGATGTACTCTTCTGATCATGTGATTTTTTGAATCAGCATGTTACATAAGTTCTTTTTGTTTTAAAGACTGCTCTTAGAATATTTGCAGAATATTCTACAAAAGAAAACAGCTTCTAGCATGATTGAGAACACAGGCTACCTGTACAAGTGGGCATCTTTAGCTTGCAACTGACAGGAGGTGATTTGACTTAATTTGTAATTAGAAGGGTCAAATTACTTCATGTGTGCCATGGGATGAGAGTGTGCTAGAGTAACAGCTTAGCTGATGGATAGACTTTTAATATGTAACAACTTTTAAAAAAATAATCACTAATGTCTTTTTGCTCCCATTGCCATTAGTGATAATGTACCACTGCCATATAATACCCGTTTGTAGCTTATCTAACAAAGACAATCTGGTTGTTTTCTTTTCTCATGCTTCAAAGCACAAAAAAGTCCTGGAACACAAAGAAAAGATAACTTAGGTAACATGGATACATACTTTATACTAATTATAATACAGAAAGAAGTTGATTTTGAAATATGTTCTAAGCCAGCTATCTCTAATATCTGTTCCAGTTCGTAATCAGCCTCCACCTTCAACTGGAATTTCAAGCGCAGGAACTGCTGGATATGGTACAGCCAGACCGGTAGGTATTCTGTCTTAAAATTATCTTCCTCCAATGTTTCTACAGTTCATTACGCTGATGGCAGGTTTTCGTAAGTCATAACAGATGTAAGAAAACGGCAAAATTGACTAGTCATTTTACAGCTCATATGAGTTAATTCCCTTAGCAGTTCTTGTCTGTTGACTAAAAATACTCCAGATTATATATAATAAACATGACTTTATTGTTTTGCACTCTATGCAGTTGCTTCATAGGCTTTCAAATAATACCACGTGTTATGTCCACTTTCAAATAACTGTGAAGTGCAAAGTTACTCTATTATATGTTCCTGTTGACTCTGTTGCTGATTTGGTATGATAAAATGTATTATCTTCTGTGCTGAAATGCATAGCTTGATGGCAGCTAATTGCTTGCAGGCAGTTAATTTATTATATAGGCAGTTGATGTATTGCTGATTATGTGATGTGTAATGGAATTTTGTACCTTGTTTTAAAAATTAATTTTGATAAAGGTCTTCATGTACAAGTGAAACATTCAACTATTTCAGCAAAACATTCACCAAACATTCGTTCTGCATTTCATTTTTTTATTTGTGGAACTGAACTGAAGGGAAGTGAATGAAGGATTTATAGGTGCTGGAATGCTTCACTACAAGCAGGAAATCAAGAGATGGAAGATATATGCCTTACTGCTTTTAACAGCAGCAAGTAGGAGCCTTGCGTTAGGGAAGGAGAAAGTGTTTTAATAGCTATAGGTCTTCTTAAAGAATTACTAAGAAATGGTATTGTTTGTTGATAATTCTTTAGACTTTGCAGCCTATTTCAGAGAATATTTTTGCAGCAGCATGAAGGACTTTTCTTTCTATATCTATATCAACCACAGTATGTGTGCTTACTTTGTTCCCTCTGTTGTGGCAGTTTCAGGCTTTTAGACTTAGATCATACCTCTCTATACCTGGATGCTTTATAGACTAAAAAGCAGCAAAAGTTGGCTCTTTCTTGGTCATTAGAGAACTTTGTTTTCCTTCTCTAAGGTGTTTTGCTCTTCTCATTGGGATAATGATCATGACAACACTGACAGGATGGAAAGCACACATACGAGCCTTTAGTAAGGCTCTGCTTGCAGAAATCTCAGTGGGAGAGATACTGATGAGGTTTTTGACCTGTCCACAAATACTGCACCTCTTCTTTAATTCTGTATCTTCCTTTCAAGTAAAGTGATAGACCATTTGTTGCAAATGAGAGAGAGTGAGTGTGAAGAAGCCATTAAAATAAAGATGCAGCTAACACAAGAGATTAAGTTAAATCCATGTAAATTTGATTTATAGAAGGTTGTAGAGTCCTTTTCCACCTTTTAAATGACGAAGAAACAAAGAACACTGCCAGCTGTGCAGAGATATCAGAGTTCTTCAGAGCTTTAAAGGAGTTGTATCTTACCGGTATTGCCATTTTCTATTATACTCTTGTACAGTATTGAAACCACTGAAAACTACTGTTGAAAGCCACCATGGAAATCACTTTTTTGCCGATTCATTTTTCTCAAAGAGATTGATTCTCACAGGGAACAGTTCTTGATCTTTGCGCTTTTTTGTTATTTCCCTAGAAATGTAAAATGTCCTCTTCTAAAATTTGGATAAAAACCTGGTATACACACACACACAAAAAGTATTCATTTTTCACCATGTGCCTCACTTGTTGGTTTGTTGTTGGTGTGTTTGGGGGTTTTTTTTTGTAATCTAGAGGCAGGACAGGATTTGCCATTTCTAAATCAAAATAATTCAATAAACAAATCTTGTGTACAGAAGAGACTCCACCAGTATCTTCAAATTGGCATAAGCGCAGGAACTTTTGTTCATTTTATCAAGACAGAAAAAACAGTAGTACTGTTCTCTTGTGCTGTGCTCCTCAACACCCAGGCTGGACTACAGTTAGAGCTGATTGCCAGTTTCCAGAAAGAGCCACGGTGCCACTATTGCCAGCATAATTTGATAAGACAAAGCTGACTGCATCTCTTCCTTTGCAAACGTTGAGATTTTTTCAACAAAAACCCTAGCAAAAAACCCCAAACAAACCACAAAACCAGAACAAACCAACCAACCAGATGTAATAGAAGGTGTGCAAAACCATCTTCTAAAATCTGCTTGGTTTTTCCAGCCTTATCTGAAACCCTTGTTTGGATTTCCTAACCGACGTTGCTTCTTTCCTTTTTCTCCAGTTGTTTTTTGGGCAGCACTTCGTATCGAGGATTTCAGGACCAGGGACAGTAGCTATGGCAGGCACTGCTTCCCACCCAGAGGTCCTCAGGATTATTTTGGACTTCTTTTCTGTTTCTTTTTTCTGTTCCTTTTCGATGTGTTTTGGTTTTAATACATTTTGGCATTTAATCCAATCATCCTTCTGCCTACTTTCAGAATATTCAAAGAAATGACAAAATGCAACTTGGCAATTAAAGGGAAGACAGATATTTCAGAGGTTAGCTGGTTTAAAGCATTTAAAAAGTTGTTAAATGAACTCAGCTATGCATAATGAATCAGATGTTATATTAAGTCTTCAAAGCAGAGTATATACATCTAGTAAAACTAAGGTCAAGGATGATACTTGTTTTGTAGTGGTGACGTTTCTTTGCTTGTTTTTAAATCATGTTTGTGCAGAGTGTTGTATAATAGGGTTTGCTCCAAAAACCATTTCTAGAACATCCACTGTTACTAAGATTTTGTTAGAATATACCAAGTACACAAAAGTAGAGAAAACAAATCTTACAAACTATCCTGCCTCACAATCTCCACCACCCCCCCAATCTAGTATTTTTCTTCTGATGCTTTACATTCAGCTTTCAGGTGTGGTATTTGTAATTCATTCTGCTTCAGTTGTAATCTGTAATAGTTTCCTATTTCTCTTTAAATACTGATGTAGACTTCTTAATTTTGTGTTATGACAGCAATTCCATTCCCAGCATGTTTACCCAAACTTGTTGGAATAGAAGTTGACTCCAGCTTTCAGATGAGGCAGAATGTATGTTTCATCAATACAGTTTGCTAAGGAACAGGGGTAACTGCCTTACAGTTAGCAAACATAAGTTTCAGAGAAAAGAACTAACCATAGTCTTTTATGCATAAAAATGTTGGACTTTCACGATATAAAATTGACTGTAGCTGCTGTTTGCAAATGGCAGGCTATAATTATAGCCTAAATGGTAGATGGAGTCTACAGCCTGCATTGATGGTGGGTTATCAATGTGTCCTTACGAGATCTCTAAATAAAGTAGTTGCTTTTGGTTTTGCTGCTTACAACAATTTGCAGATGCAGGTAAAATTAACTTATTAATACTAACAAAATAATAAGTGTTTTTAACATTGCACAGGTATATAAAGTTGAAGACTGCTGTAAAAATCCTTTGCTTTGAATTGAAGCCTCATGATGTTTTGAGAATATATTCTTTGCTTTTATATGTGCATAAAAAAATAGTTCAGCAATTGTTATCAAAGGATTTCTTTTTCAGAGTCCTAATTATCCTGAATCATTTAGCAGTAGATGACTGCAGATGCAAAGTAGAACTAAAATGCTTTCTTTTTACCAATTACTATGTCAGACTGTTCCACCTCGAGCTGGAGTTATTAGTGCACCACAAAGCCATGTCCGTCCCTCTGGGGGAAGACCAGCACCCGAAACTCAGACCAAGCCAGTTGAACCACCAAGGGGTAAGTTTACTTTAGAAGTTAAATATAAATACCACTATTCAGTCAAGAGGGTACTGCCTCTGGTTTGAATGCTTTGTTTTCAACAGATGTCTTCATTTTTCACTAGAAATTAAAATTCTCTAATGTAGTAATATTTGGCAGTTTCTGTTAATCTTTCACAAGTATTGTAAACCCTTATTAGATAATAGGCAGCAGTCAGATGAGATCTAGACCCACAGATTTCATGCTATCAAGAGAAACTTTGATCAGATTGCTGTGTTTTGGTCTGAGCACATTGGTGTGTCCTGTCCTGTGTGTGTTGATCACTGGACCATTCTCCACACTGGTTGCTCTGTAATCATACTATTTGGAATAGTATTTATGTTTGACTCTCAAAGCCACTTCCAAAACTTAAAGGGGTTGTTTTAATTGTGTTATCAAAATCTGCATTTTATAACAATGGCTTCCAAAATACTTTTAAAGTACATTTTAAAGTACATTTAAGAATGACATGGTTTCCGGTTGTCTATTTTGTATCTGTAGTAATAATTTTTAAAAGAGATATGCTGAGATTTTGATGACTTCTAATCTAGTTGCCACGAACACCTGCTGTTCTTACAGTCCCTTCTGCAGCTCTGTCTGGTGCTTCTGCAGCCACGTGCTCTCATTCATGCCATTTTTAAGATTTCTATTATAATTCTTTACAATGAAAACCACTGCAAACATACTTGCAGGCTCGCCGTTGCTTCCTGAACCACTAAAGCCTCAGGCTGCTGGACCTGCTCAGCCCACCACTCAGCCACCACCTGTGCTAAGGATGCAGGAACCTCTGATACCTGTGGCATCACATCCATCTCAGACAAGTGCCCCACAAAGTCTGGAACCCCCCCAACCGCCTCCTCGTAGCCGATCATCTCACAGTTTGCCTTCTGAATCTGCTCCTTCACAGCAGCAAGTAAGTAACAAAAAACCCCATGTATATACGTCTTTTCATTATGTACATTAACACAGCTTGTACTGCATGCTATAGATTGGTGAGAAACTCCTAGAGCAAGCAAGCAAACAAAGATAAAGGTCAAATGATTGGATTCAAAGATCATTAGGCTCTAGTAGGATAATACTAAAATGCTTGTCCATGAATAACTAACATCTTAAATACTAAACATTTAACTTGAGGTTTCTTATGACAGACGTACAACTTACAGACAGCTAGTCAAATAATAATTTTAAGAACACCTTTGTATGGAAAACTGCTCCATCAAAGAAATTTAATTTTATAATGATGTGCGTGACTTCAACTGCATAGTAACTAGCTAACACAGGTTTTGATTATGAAGTAAGCTTTGTAGATTGCATGATGTCGTGCTTTATGTTGATGATAATTCATTGCAGGAAGACAATACTGATAGATACTTAATAGAAATACATTTCTCCCAATTCCCCAGTGTCAATTAAAATATAGAAACATATCAAAATAACCTGAAAATTTAATACAGTAACATTAATAATCTGTTCTATGGGACCATTTAGAGTGGTATTTTCAAAAAAAACCCCCACTTTTTCTAGGAAAAGCCATGGTTTCTTACTACTGTTTAAAAATCCAGAAGTAGGTTTTCAGTGTTATTTATATATACATAAGGCTAAACTTCTGCACTAAGGGCCAGTGCTGTTAGTTTTTACAGTATCAGGTGCTAGGCCAGATAATACATTACTTGAGTAAAAGCACAAATTTATTGAAGCTGATGGATTTGTGCCCACTTCTTAAAAGGGTAAATTTGGGGGGGGGAGGTTCTGGTGTTCAGGTTTTTTTAAGCATAAACTGAGCTGTGGATATTTATGACTACATAAGTTTTCATCAGTATTTTAGATTTTACCTTATCCCTACATCTGAAGCCCAGTTTCACTAAAGCAGTTAGTACCTATTTTGTACCACGATGAAGCAGCCAAATTCAGTCCTCAGTGAGTTCATTTTGAATTCTAATTGAAAAATCTTTAAGTGCTCTTCCTTTATTTCTGCTGCACAGAACCTCTCTCTCTGCCTGTTAACTTGTTTCCATTTTGGAAACATAGGCCAAAAAACACAGGACGTTTTTGAATATACAGGTAGAATATCAGGACTTTTTGTAGTTTTTTAGAATGTATGAAGTGTTGACAGCAGAGCATATACATGGAGGCATAAGGTACTTGAACGTACCAATTTTGTGCATTGAAACAGATTGCGTTGTGTCACTTCTGAAAGCCTCGCACCTTCTAAATCTAGTTTTACTGCTGCTCATTTTGTGAAAGAGGTGCAAGCAGTTTTTTCAAAATTATTATGAAAATTACGTTTATCTGTGTGTATACACAGCAATCAAAAATATGCTTAACAACAGTGTAAACAGGTTTTTGAGCTGTGTAATGCTGTGGCTATGCTGTTAACAATACCCAAATCAGACAGTTTAAAACTAGTTCAGGGAGCTATCATTTTCTCTGCAATCAGATTTCTTTGATTAATGCAGGCTGTGCAATCACGAGGAAGGACCACTTAGCTTCATTTATTGTCTCCGGCTTCGGGTTTTTATTTCTGTTTTCTTTTTTTTTAGTTTAGTTAAATAATGTTTATTTCATTTCTTGATTAGCATTTGTAAATATGAAGTTTTCTGAGAATAGGTCTTTAAATAGATACAAAGTCTTTTGAGGGGTGGTGGATTCCAAGCCCATCCTTTGATTCAAAGCTTGATTGTGATGTTTGAGAACCTAAATCTCTCCTCATAAAAATAATTGCTTGTATACAGTGTGAATTTTCAGGACTCTGTAGATTACCAAGCAATACATTAGAAAAGAAAAGTAGTTATTGTAAATAGGTTTGTTTATTGTAAATTAAGGAGAGTTTGGTTTTTGATTGAATGAGAAGTCTTATTGTTTTTTTTCAGCTTGAAAAACTATTGCTATAGATGAGTGATTATACCAACACAGTTCCCAGAATGAGGGCTATAGTGCTTTTCATGTTAATAGATGGTTAGAATTAGACCATCAATAGTCAAATTCTTATAGTCAGACTTCAAAAAATAGCACAATCAGCTGCACAATGAATGTCTGTATGGAAATAACATTAGAATTGGCTTGAGATGTTTGGGGTTTTTTTGACTTTTAATATTAGAGCTTATAAGTCTTACAATAGAATACAACAGAAATTTAAAATTTAGTATAGTGTGTAATAAATATTTTTCATTTGTTTTCATATCTCAAAAAAGGCTTTGTGAAAACTTAAAAGTATTTTTAACATGAGGTTGCTTTGTTACTTGGATTTCCTTCCTAATTTTCTTTCCTTTGATGTCTGTTTCTCTTTCACACAAGCAGGAGCAACCATCAGGGTAACAGGTATCTGACTATTTACCAATCTTGTATGTGGTCTCCATTTATTCAAGCAGAAAAGATGTATGAATCTTGTTTTCATACATCTGCAGTCTCATCCACATTAAAAATCACCTGTCCACATTAATTGACTGTCATACCATAGTTTGCTTTTTCCATTCATATTGCAATTAAAATTGATACTCTTAACTGTATTTATTAGCACCATAGCAAATATTTTGCTTCATCTTTTATGAAACAATTGGAACCTCATGTATGTTGCTTAGTCACTGCTGAATCTCCTGGCCTCGGTCTGTTTGGAAAAAAATGAATAGGTGTTGGAGTTAACATTTCTCTTTAATGCAAATAAATCCTGATGCAAAATCCTGCCAAAGTTGGTTTTGTTTGTTGTTTTTTTTTTTTTTAAATAAACCCCATATTTTGCATTTCTCAAAGAAAAGAGAACTTACTATTGCTTTACCCAAAGTAAAATACACTGTTTTTACAATTTTAAAAGCATTTGCTTCCAGAATTATTCAGAGCAAATTTTTACTTAAAGAGCAATTGACATTCATAGTTTGTTTGGGATCTTGTACTTTTTGATTAATTAATGAATGCAGGATTTAACCAGCTGGTGCCAAGCTGCATTTGATTTATTCTTTCTACAGTTCAATTTTTCACATTTCCCCCCTTGGTCACTTGATGCCTTTGCTTTAATATTATTTTCCAAACCACTTACTATATACACATAAAAATACCAATATTGAACTACTCTATGGTTTGGTAACATTAGGCCTCATCTATTTTAGAAACTCTCTGATGTGGTACTACCAGGGATGCATGCAACAGACTTTGCTGTTTCAGAAAAACCCACCGGAGCAAATGCATTGTTGCCAGCATACTTTGTTTCTCCTGCCAATTCAAGCTACAACTGCAATTTTTTAAAAGAAATTGCTATGCTGGAAACATTGGGAAAAAAACTTATAATATTATTCCTGAGAGTCTCTAAAGCCTGTAGACTAATTTTGCATAGCTGCTTAGGCAGTAGATATGTGGAGACCTGCTTCAAACTATTCACAATAAATGCAGTAAACCCAAGATGTTTAAAGATTGAGGTTAGGCTAAAATAGTAATACTGTATTTTAGTTCATAGTTTTAGCTAGCATCCTAGTTCAACAAAACATTAGCTAACAGATTTTTTCATGCTAAATATCCAAACTATTTGGGTATATTAAGGTGATGTGTTAAAATGACAAATTTCTTTCTGAAATTTGAATTCTCAGAAGCTGTTTTAACTTAAGCTTAATTCTTTGCATTTGTTTAATAAGGGAAAGCTCCAAACTCTATTCTGTCAGTGTGATAACCTGAACAAAGGTAGATATTCTACCTTTTGGGACAGTTGTTACAAGGTACAAAAGTTGCATTGTTGTCTGAAGAAATTTATAAAACCAGGAATATTTTGTTTTTAAAAAGATGAGAAGTTCTGTGGAGAAAACTCTGTCTTCTCCATTTGGTATTATTCTAAACAATGATAACTTGCCATTTTCCAAGATTACAAACTGATGATCATACCTTCACATGGCAAGGAGCGCTGGAGATGCCTACAGATGCATATGTCTACATAGAAATGCCTCAAGTGCATATACTAATAACACTAATTTTTCCTTTCATTGTGATGCTTAAATATTGCTTATAACATCAGTGCTCTAAACTCTCAAATGATGAAACCTAGAGCTTTTTATTTCATATTTGTGCTGGGTTATCACTTGTTTAGAATACAGCATCATTTCCCAAGTTTCTTAAAGATTTTCTTATACAGTGTCCATTAGTGCTTTTGGCTAGGATTCTGACCTGCATGAAGTAGATTCAAGCTGCATCAACCAACAAGGGGGAAAATTGTGTTTAACAACTAGTAGGCTTTTCTTCAGAGAAGGGAATAAGGGTTATTGTTTTCCAGAAAAGAAGCAATCGTTCTACTACAAGTGTATTGTGCGAGTTACCAAACTGTACTGAAGTTTCAGTTTAAGCCCAAGAGCTTCTTTTCTTCTCATAGAAGAGAGAGAAATGGGGAGTTAGTAATAATCTTAAGGCAGCCAGCCAGCCACGTGATTACTAAGCACCTTGTTTTCTTTCCAGATTAAAACAAATGGAACGTACAGCACTAGACTTGAGACACAGTTAAACAGTGACCCTTTTGAAGATTTGTCGTTTAAGCTGCTTGTGTCAAAGATGCAGACGTCTGCTCGAACATCACCTGTTCCGACTTTAAACCAAAAGGAGTTGATACAGTTGCCTTCAGCAACACAAAGAAATGCTGATATTCTGAACACTGTAAATTGCATGCCAGCAATGCCTCCTATTCCAACCTTTAACACATCCCAGGAACATACGCGCAGCTCTCCAAATCCATTTATTACTGGACTGAACTGCACAAATCCATTCACTGAAAGAACTCCTAAGGGTGGAAACCCATTTAGAACGGAAACGCAAGAGTCTGAAATAACTTCACGTTTACTAGAAGGACGTGCTGCTTGCAATCCTTTCCCTTCTCTAAATCCCCCCAGCTGTAATACAAGCAAGCCTGTACTTCCTGTTGATGCGTCTGCAAACACTTTTTGCTTGCGAAGTAAATCTCTCATGGTAAAAAATGTACAGCCAAAAGGATGGGTAACGTTTGAGGAGGAGGAGGAGAATTTCAACTTAAAGCTAAAGCCATCTCAAAGTGTTCCAGATTTTAAGCGAATCAGTTCCAGGAGGTCAGCTGGATCTCCAGATTTGCTGGGCACTGAACAAAATACTTTTCTTGGTTCAGACTTTAACTTTGATAATGACTGGAATAAAAGTTCTACTCATTGCTTCCATACAATGCCAGCAAGAAGACCACCTGCACCTCCTATACCATCAAGAATAACCAGCAACAGATCCCCCCCCAGATCCTTTTCCTTCTTTGGCACCTAAGGTGTCACCAACGCAAGATCTTACAGAAAGATAGATGTTCAAAAACATAAGAGGTTTTATTTGTTGCTACATTTATCTGGTAGAATAATTGGGCATTTGAGATTATTCTGTGTGCAATAATTAATTGTCAAATGCACTGAAAGTTAACTCTACTCATAAACAGCCACTATTGTTTGTGTATAAAATTTGAATATGTATATATGTTAGAGCACAAAAAAAGTCTGAAATTTATTAAAATCCTGATGTAATAGTATTTGAATCGATAGAGACAAGAAGGATGAACTACTAATCTCATTAAAATATACCAATCTTGGAAATAGTTTTTGCTTAGGGAGCTCTCTCATTTCTGTTCCCCTTTGTGGAATTTTAAAAAAAAGAGGCTCCCTGCTGGTAGCCTCCCCACTCCCTTTTTACTGTTTTGTTAATTGATATTTATAAGTATTTACCAAAGAGCTGCCAAAGTTTATTGAGATTTGAATGTTTGCAAGTATTGTTTAGAAGCTGTTTAATTTATAACAGAGGCTATGGATATTTGTAAGGCTTATATTTGAATTTGAGGCACAACAAAAATAGTTTAATTTCAAAATACAAACAAAACTTTGCATATTAATATATTCAATAGTTGACTTTAATTTTCTGTGTCACTACATTTCAGCTATTAAATCTTATTGTGACATACACTCACAAGAATTACTTCAGAATAATTGTTCCATATCATTCATTTATTTATCACTATTTTAAAGATCTTTTTTTTCCACAAATTGGAAACAACCGATACAACAAGTTTTCCCTCAACTTTTGGAAAAAAAATTCCCCTTGGGTTTTGAGATACAAAGCAGTCTTTACCAGTTGCAGACAACTTATTGGAGTTGGCTTGTCCCACTCTCCTCTTGCACGTTGGAAGGGCTTTCTTGTCCTACAGAAAGACCTAAGCGAGGGAATCAGCACCCATGTTACATCATCATCATCATCAGAGTCATCTTATGTGATTGGACTGTCTGCTCAGCATCCTCCCCATCTACTAGACTTACTGCTGTATCTCAGATCTTACTTTAAGAAAACAGGAGAACGGCAATTCTCTGAGCTGAACAGTATCATTCTGTCACTTTTGCAGTTAAACCTAAATGAGTGACAACTCCTTGCCCAGAGACAGGAACCATCCTCTGTGCTCTGCTGCTTTGAGGCTAGTGAAGGCTAAGTCACAGTTCTGCATATTATGCTATAAAAATGCAATTTTTTGTGCTTCTAGGATTTTCTAAAGCTCACATGAGGTTACATAAAATACGATACGCTGTTATCTTGAGGCAATTTAAAAGAACTGATTTCCTTAGCTCTGTTTCTGTATGCTATAAAACCCTGCAGTTCTCCTTACAATTCGCAGTGTCTTAGGGCGTAACTCGTATACAGAGCTGCGTACTTTCATCCAAGGCTGAGCGTGTCGCAGTGTTGTCATTGGAGACTGCAAATACACGCCTACACACATTGGCTTACTTGTGAACAAACTACTGGTTCTGCAAAGCCAGCGACTGAAATACAACGTACTAGCATTATCTTTATAGTAGCAAAATACATGATGACAGTACTTTTTTCTTTTTTAAATTCTCAAATGCTATCAAATCATTATTTATAAAATAAATATTTAAAATACTTAAACAGTATATGTTTAGCCATGAGCTAAGGATAGAGGAGTGACGATAGTGAGTTTTCTATTGTGCTTTTTTTCCGTTCAGGTCATTAAACAGTACTTGTACATTTTAAACAGCAGTGGTACTATACTCTTTGTGCTTCGGTATGTGAATTACCTTGTTTTAAACTGTTGCTATAACCATCTGTGTGGTTGGTGTTTTGGTATATTCTTACATTAGCGAAACAATTCGGGGGGGAAACTTTTTGCTAGTGGGAGTTACGTGATAAATATGTTCTTTGTTGACTATTTAATTACAGTGATTAAAAACTACTGTCTAAAATGTACCTGGTAAACAGCACCTCTACGCTTTACAGGATTATGGAAATGACAGCAAAGTACTGCAAAGATCACAAGAAATGCTCCAAAAATATACGTGCGTGTGTGTACATATAGCTAACTGCTGTAACGTGTCTTAACGGAAATAATCACTAGCAGAAGTTCTGAAAATACTACGAATTAAAATCAGAACCGCTCAACACATTTCCATGAATTCTGTGTTCCCTGTGGTAAATTGCTCTGTTAAATGTGACGATTTTCTAGCTTGTGGCACACAAACTACTTCTGGCTGTATCTTTTTTGGAGCTGCAGTATTGAAACTCGGTGACGTACAGCATTCCGTGGCTCCCCTGTGGAAGGCGGTGGTGTATTTATGAAATAAACATACCTGCCCTTCAGCAGCGCTAGCTTTTTCTCTCTTTGTATCTCAGGTGCTTCCCCGGGCCCCTCTTTACCACAGCACTTCAGTGCGCACCGCTATCGCTAGGAGGGATGGCGCGGGCCCTTTAAGCGTCTCTCATGACGACAGCGGGAGGGCCGGAAGCGGAAGTGCCCGCGGGCCGGAGGACAGGGCCGGCGCCGAGTGGGAGATACGGTTGCTCG